GGTTAGGTGGGAGAACCAGATTGAGGACACTGGGAAGAAAAAGGTTGAAGTCAGGGGAGTCACAAGCAAGACACCGAGAGGAAACAAGAGGTGTAAGTTAAAAGAGAGGCAATGCCACATAGCAGAATGCAGATTAATAGAAATGGGTTAATTTAAGTTGTAAGAGTTAGCCAGCAACCAGCCTGAGCTATTGGCTGAGCATTTATAATTAATATTAAGTTTCTGAATGGTTATTTGGGAGCAGCTGCCAAGACACAGAAAAAACTCTGCCTACAAATGGCACCCAAACAACCAGCATCTACATTCACATAAAACTCAAGCAAGCTTTAAAAAGGTTCTAAACACACAAAAAACAAACCCAACACAGTTTCCTAGTCTCGTGTCTCTTATGCCAGCTGCAGTACCAAGACATGCCTTCCAGGAGCTACCTGTGGAAGGAGACAGCTACCAGCTGCCATGCCCTACTGTCTTGCACTAAGCTAAGCTATGCTACACCACTGGCAGCTGACACAGAAGTTTAAAATTAATCTTATGTGATCAAAAAACAATACAGATACTCAGTAAAGACAGATACAGATGGAAAAAAAACCCTCTAAATGTGTTACAATGTGTTTAAAAATATACATAGACTTGGGAGAAAAAAGAGAAAGGGTAGAGACAGTCATAGATTAAAAATAGTAGTAAAGTCTTTACAAATAATGAAGAAAAATATAAGCCACATAAATATGAAAAATACACAGAGCGTCTGAATTCCATGTGTTATTGTATTGTCTTTAAATTTTCTTGTTGCTAATAAAGAAACAACAGATTCTAAAACACATTGGATTATGAAAAGTGTTGAATTAAAACATTTTAAAAAAATGTCTTGGCTTCAAAAGAGAAGTCAAAAGATGTGTTACTTGTGGTGATATTTTATTTGTGCTGAAATGTATGGATATTTTGTTTGTATGTTAATCAATAAAGTTTGCCTGGAGAAGAGAGGAAATAGCAAGCCATTAAGTAAACACAAAAGTCATGCAGTGGTAGCACATGCCCTTAATCCGATCACTTGGCAGGCAGGGTCTCTGTGTGTTTAAGGTCACACTGGGAAGAGAGCCAAGCATGGTGACATATGCCTTTAATCCCAGTACCAACCATAGAGACCTGGAGGTCTGTACAGACAGGCAGTAACAAGGAAATGAGGTAGCTGGGGTAAGAGCCAATGAGAGGGCAGAACAGCAAGGCAATAAAGGCACAGGTAGACAGGAAGCAACTCACTTTTGGTAGCTGCAGAGCTGGAGAGGTAAGGTTGGTGGCTCTCACTATTTCCTTGATCTCTAAGGCATTCACCCCTATATTTGGCTCTGTGTTTTTTATTTAATAAGACTGTTTAGAAATTCGTCTACAATTGGGACTCACCATTGGGCATTGAGCCATATAGATGAAAGAAAGTTTAAAGATTCTGAATGCATAGAAATGAAACTACACTGGGCTTCCTAGTCTCACAGTCTCATGCCAGCATCAGTGCAAACTCATATCCTGACAGCTGCCTGTGAGATGGAGCTGGCCTCCAGTACACAGAGGCATCTCCAAGCTGCATAGTGTGGTGTATGTGTTGGATTTAGTCTTTGTTAGTACAGACAAAAAAAATGTTTCTAGGCTACACGCTGCTTTAACAGAAGTATAGACCCACTGCTTCTGAGAGTTGGTGGTACACATGGCTTCCAGAGCCAGAGCTGGTGGTAAATGTACCACTGCCATGTTGGAAAGCTGAGGTGGGCAGAGCCAGCAGCCCAAGCTGCCATTTCAGTCCTAGTAATGCTGCAGTTTAAAGCAATAGATTCACAATAAGGCAGATTCAGATGGAACAAGACCTTAAATGGTTTACAATGTGTATAAAAATGTATATAGGCTTAGAAGATAGAAGAAAATGAATATGGACAGTTATATGAAGAGATAGTTTTAAAAAATAAAGTCTTTAAAGAGATAGTAAGGGTATTATAAAAATAAGCTATGTAAAGATGGATATTACACAGAGAGTCTGGATTATATAGTCTTTGGGATTTTTAACTGTAGAGAGACATTTGATTGTAAAAGTTGCTGAGTTAAATACATATGTATGTTTTAAGGATATCTTGACTTCAAAATTTGGATCTATGGATATTTTTCTTTGGAAGAGAGGCTCTGCTTTTGTCTCCACAGGAAGCAAGAGGCTATGGATTTGTTCAAGAATAAAATACATCAGGTTTGACCAGCCAAGACCCCCTGAAAAGTCTCAGATGATACCATGGCCCGGATAATCCAACATCCAGCATGGTTTCAAGGCAACTGGCTCAGACAATGCAGCCTCACAGACTATTTCAGTCAGGACTTGACCACAATTCTTAATTTTCTCAGGATCCCCATAAGAATACAGCACCCTTTATCAGCAGGAAGTAGCCTGGAATGCTATGCCCACATTCCCAAAAAATGGATTATGGATGTTTGTTTTTGTTTAGGTTGTTGGTTACAAATTGTTATTGGTCATAATCAATCTCTTTCTAAAAGAAGAAAGGAAGATATGATATAGATATATAGGATATAGGATAGGATAAAAGGGTAGATTATTGAACCTACTTTTAAAGAGCAACTTGTTTAAAATATTTTACATTGGTATAGATTTAATTTATTGATACAAATTTAAAGTTAATTTTGTTATACTGTGCATATATTTCTACTCTTGTTTAAGGTATATGTATACAACTCATTTAAAATTATAATGGATAATTAAGAAATACAGATTAATAATTAGTCTTCTATGATAGTCAAACTTATAGTCATGTTAAGTTTCCAAGTATACATAGATATAATTCAATTAGGTAGTTAATCTTCAAATACTTCAAAGACCTACAAAATATGGTATTTAAAATGGTTTTAAAAACTTAGACTTTCTGGACAGTGAGACATGTCTGCTCCTGGCAGCACCAATTTTCTTCAAAGAGAAAAATGGGCATTGAAGACACTCCATGTGGAGTTTATCTTTTTCTTGGCAAAAATAGCCATTTGGGCAAGAAACTGTTCTTGCCTGGACTGCTTGACAAAATGCTGAGTGGACTGAACATGCAGGACCCATAGAAAGGTAACCACTGAACTTTGCAAGGCAAAATGGTCCTTCAGGTTCCTGCTTCACAGAGGAAACTGCCAGACAATCTACAGGACACAGAAAAGTAGCTGAGAGACTCTAGCTAGGCCTGTGGGCTGAAGATGGATGCCCCAATACTACAAAGGAACTTTGGGTAACTGTCTAGGCAGACAGCTGTCTCTGTCATTCTAGATTTTCAGAAGTTGCTTTCAATGCTCTTTCTGTTTACTTAGGTAATATTATATCCTTTTGAGGTCTTTGATGTACTTGAAGACTAGATAGTTATAATTATAATTTTCCTTGATTATGATAAAAGATCAATAAGATAAACCTCAGACTCACAAATATAGGATAGATATTAAAGAAATATTTTCTTTAATTTTACAAAATACAATAGACTAGATATTGTAACTGTAAATCTTGCTTAATAACTATTTTGTTACATGTAATTTTAATAGGTTAAAGTTAAAACCTTTTTGTTTAGACAGAAAAAGGGAAGTGATAGGGGAATGTCTTTCTGTACGCTGTGAATATGTTTTGCTCTGATTGGTTGATAAATAAATCCATTTGACCTATGGCAAGGCAGCTTAGAGGCAGGTGGGAAATTCAAAGGGAGAAACATGAAGAAGGCAGGGAGAGACACCAGTGAGCCATCCAAGGAGCAACACGCAGGTAAAGCCACGGAACATGTGGCAATACATAGATTAATAGTTATGGGCTAATTTAAGATATAAGAGCTAGCTAACAAAAGGCATGAGCCATAGCCGTGAAGTTATAATTAATATAAGCTTCTGTGTGATTATTTTATAAGTGGTTGTGGGGTTCATGGGGCTTGGCAGGATCAGAGAAAACTTTAGCTACACTTACTTTGGGAAAAGGGTTATGTTTTTATTTCCACAGGAAATGAGAGGCTGTGAATTCATTCCAGATTGATATTGATCAGGTATGATTGAGGAAGACCCCTGAAAATCCTAGCTACAGACATAAACTCATAAATCTAAAAAAAAACCCTACAAAACACATAACATATATTTTACCTGCTCAAACTTAAAACAAAAAAAAATCATCTTTGACTAACTTGTGTACAACATATAATCTACACTTGTATTAATACAGATATGTATGTTACCTTTAAAAGTTTATGTATTTTCAGAAGGAGATAGGACACCAATGAAAACAGATGGCCCAGGTGATCCAACATCTAAGAATGCCTCTGTCACTGTTTCCTCAGAGTTCTACATCTAGAACAGCTTGAAGGCCACTGGCCGAGAAGATCCAGCCTCACAGACTACTACAACTGATACTAAACAATTATCCTAAATTTTCTCAGGGTCCAAAGATGCACCTTCAAACAACAGGAAGTAGTCTAGTAAATAACACTCACATTCCCAAAAGATGGGTTATGGATTTTTATTATCATTTAACAGGGATTGGTTACAAGTTGTTATTGGTTATGGTCAGGAAAAAGCTGAACATGGGAGATTAGATTCAGTGACCTTGTTCTGAAAACAAAAAATGGGGGCATATAGAAATGATACAATAAAAGGGTAGGTTACTGAATATACTTTTAAACTAAAAAAGCAACTACCAGTCTTAATTATTTTACATTGGTATGGATTTTGGTTTATTGATACAAATTTAAAGTTAGTTTTGCTATACTATATGTATGTTTCTACTCTTGTTTGGAATATTGTTCTTATGCTTTAAAATATAATGTATCATTAAGAAATACAGGTTAGTAGTTAGTCATCTATAATAATGATAAAACTTACAGTCATATTAGGTATGTTTTCAAGGCTAAACAGATATATTTAGATAGCTAGATGGTATTCAAACAATTCAAAGACATACAGAACATGGCATTTAAAATGTCTTAATAACATAAGGCTTTTCTTGACAGTGAGACATATCTGCTCATGACAGCACCAGTTTACTTCGAAGAAGATGATGGGCATCAAAGAAACTTCATATGGAGTTTGCTTTACTTTATGGCAAAAGCTAGCCTTTTGGGCAAAGAAATTGCCCTTGCCTCAATTGCTGACAGTGTACTTTCCAAACTGGACTAACAGGATGCAAAAGAAAGCGACTGCCAAACTTTTCCAAGACAAGGTAGGACAGTGCTTCAAATTCCCTGCTTCTCAGAAATGTCTGTCAGATATAGAAGGCCTGTAGGCCAAAGATGGATGCTCCAACATTACAGAATAACTTTGGGTGACTGTCCACACAGCCAGATGTGCCTGACATTAGGGAACATTTCACCCTTCTTGGTTCTTTGATGGAGTTAAAGACTAAATAATTAGAATTAAAGTTGTCCTTAGTTATTATAAAAAGGTAAATTAGGTATAAAACTTTAGACTCACAAAAATGAGATAGTATTTTCTCTAAATTTGCCAAATACAAATGGACTGGATATTGGAACTATAATTCTTACTGTTTAACTGTTTTTGTTGTATATAATTTTACTATATTAAAGTTAAGACCTTCCTTTTTTAGACAAAAGGGAAAATTGTGGAATATTCCTTGACACTGTGTAAATATATTTCACTGTGATTGGTTTAATAAATAAGCTGACTGTCCAATAATAGCTGGACAGGATATGGTTAGATGGGAGAACCAGACTAAGGACACTGGGAAGAAGAAGGGCAGAGTCAGAGGGTCGCCAGCAAGACACAGAGTAGAAACAGGAGGTGTAAGATGAAAGAGAGATAACACCACATGGAAGAATGTAAATTAATAGAAATGAGTTGATTTAAGTTGTAAGAGCTTGTAGCTAGAGTTTTCCTGCCTTGCCCACAGTCAGGACAAATCTTTGTCACCCGCCAATCCCACAGCTGCTCAGACCCAACCAAGTAAATACAGAGACTTATATTGCTTACAAACTGTATGGCCATGGCAGGCTTCTTGCTAACTGTTCTTATAGCTTAAATTATCAATTTCTACAAATCTATACCTTGCCATGTGGCTCGTGGCTTACCGGCATCTTCACATGCTGCTTGACCTGGCAGTGGCTGGCAGTGACTCCTTCTGCCTTCCTGTTTTTTCTTTTCTCCTCTCTGTTAGTCCCAGCTATACTTCCTGCCTAGCCACTGACCAATCAGTATTTTATTTATTGACCAATCAGAGCAACACATTTGCCATACAGAACATCCCACAGCACTTCCCCCCCCTTTTTTTTCAAAAATGAAGGATTTAACCTAAACAAAGTAAAATTACATATAATTTGGGAATTTGGGTGTAGCTTCTCTTACTACTTCCTGCTGGAGGGAGGTGCTGTATCTTATGGGGATACAAAGAAAATTTTAGGATTATGGAATAGTCCATGAGGCTGTATCGTTTGAGCCAATTGCCTTGAATCGGATCTGGACATTGGATTATCTGTGCCATGGTGTCATCAGAGACCTTTCAGGGGATCTTGGCTTGTGAAACCTGATGTATCTTAATCTGGAACAAATCTATAGCCTCTGGCTTTCTGTGTGAACAAAAGCAGAGTCTCCTTTCCAAAGCAACACATCCTTACATCCAAATTTTGAAGTCAAGGTATCTTTAATATATACATATTGGTTTAACTCAACATCTTTTACGATCAAATGTTTTTCTGCAGTTAAAAATCCCAAAGACAACACAATCCAGATTCTCTGTGTAATATTCATTTTTATGTGGCTTATTTTTTATATTACTTTTAATGTCTCTTTAAAGACTTTATTTTTTTAAAACTATGTATTTGTTTATATAACTGTATATATCACCTTTTTTGTCTCTTTCAAGCCTACGTATATTTTACACACATTGTAAACCATTACATCTGAATCTGTCATATTGTGAATCTATTGCTTTAAACTGCAGCATTTGTAAGACTGAAAGGGTGCTATGGCTGCTGGCTCCACCCACCTCAGCTTCCCAACATGGCGGTGGTATGTTTACCGCCAGCTCAGGGAGCTATCGTGGTTCTATGCTTTTATCCAAGCAGCGTGTAGCCCAGAAACCTCTTTTTTTGTTTTGTACTAGCAAAGGCTAAATCCACCATGTAGCCTAATGTGCCACTTGTAGAGACCTCATTCCCGCCATACTGCAGGTCGAGCACGCATGCCAGGAACCCACAAGTAGCTCAAACCGGCAGCTGCTGCTCATTTGAGAGAGACAATTAGGAAGCTGTTTTTAGCTCTGTTTTAGAATCTTTTCTCAGGTTTTAGGTGGAAACTCTTGCTAACTCATTGGGCACCAAGAGCTAGTTAGTAATAACCCTGTGCTATTGGCCAAGCATTTAGAATTAATATTAAGTCTCTGAATGGTTATTTGGGAGTGGCTGCTGAGATACAGAAAATCTCCACCTACTTATAGTGGTTAATGTATAGATATTTCCCAAGTCTCTGAGTCTTCATTTATCTTTTAGCTCCTTCAGACTATATAATATTCATCTACCTTTGAGTTTGCTGTTGAGCCATTCTATTAAATTTTTCATTTCAGTGATTATGCTTTCCAACTGCCAATTTTCTATTGTATTCTTTTTATAATATTTCTTCATTGATTTACTTTATTTGAGGAAAACCATTGTAAGAGTTGCCTTTAGCTTTCTTTGAACATACTTATAATAACTGCTTTGAAGTTGGTCTGCTTAGGTTAGGAATAGCCCATGTACAGAGAGTTTTCATTGACTGCCTTTGGTATATAGGTTATACTTTCTTATTTCTATGCTTTCTATTTTTTTTCACAGAAAACTGGACATTTTAAATAAAGTATCACATCAGTTCTAGAAATGTATCTATTCTCTAGGTCTTGGTATTGTCATTGTTCATGTAATTAGTGACTTGACTAAACTAAGTATGACTTTGGATAAAATATTAATCTTACAGTCTACAGCTTCAGATGTTCCTGCTGAGGCCACTTTCCCTTATGTTTATTTTTAAGATTTATCACCCATTGTTCAACAGAGTATGGTGGTTAGAGACTAACTGGTTGTAAGTTGCATGTTTTAAGGATTTCACTCTTACCTTTGTTTGTGTATGTAGTTGGGAGATCACCTTTCCAAGTCAATGGAAAACTGTTTATTTGGTAACTAGTGTTTTCAATTCTCTAATTGTTTAAGAGTATTCTGTGGCATGGGATTTTTCCTTTTCATCTGAGGTGAGTGTGAATTTAGCAGATCCCTTTTAAGCTATCTGTTCCCTGATATTTTAAGCTTATAGCTGATTTAGCTTTATCTCTGAACAGTTCTCTTCCTGCTACTATTCACTGTGTGTGTGTGTGTGTGTGTGTGTGTGTGTGTGTGTGTGTGTGTGTGTGTGTGTGTGTTCAAAAACATTCCAGGGCATGAGTTCCTCTAGTTTCTTATCCAAAATATCTGCCCCATCATTCTTTGCATCTTTACCACTTCTTTCAGGAATAACATTACTTCCAGGACACCTCAACTGCTTCTCTACTTAGATCTCTCTTATGGAGTGAATGCTGTAAGTTTTGGGGCTTCTGACACTCATCAGTGAAATTTCTACAGCATGGAGATGGGAAAAGAGGATGTAGTGGTGTTAAACAACTTCTATTACCTTTCCAGTATGTTAATATATACCTCACACTAGGGAACTGGGAAAAATACAAGAGCTGCCTTCTTGACTACAACTGTGCATGCAGGGCTATTCAGTCTGCTGAGAGAGTACATCCACACACAGCATTCAGGGCATGGGGGTGCCATCTCTGGCTCCTCAGATGCTATGAAATAGATGTCTCCCAATTGTAGTTCACCCCCACAAAAGACTTGAAAGTGTTTTGTTTGGTAATTTGAACTAGTTTAACAGTTGTCTCTCTGGAGAAATAGATTACTTGAACTGATCACACCATGGAGGAATTGTGCAAACTTCTTATGTAAATCTGAGATCAAAATCACAGTTGAGGTCTTGTGATTGAGAACCAGAACCAAGGTTGGGTAGGGAAAGTAAAGGCTGTCATCATTAATAGTCTGGATCAATAGAGAAGTAGACAGGAAGAAAATTCATCCATGTCATGCAAAATATATGTGTTATAGCCATCCTTGAGCTGGGTTTAAGTCTATTTGATCTTCACAAATGTCACAAATGGCTCTGTTTTCATAGCTGACAACAGACTTTTAACCCACCCAACTGACATAAGGTCTGTCTACACTGAAGCAGGATGCTTCCTTTGTCTTCACTTCCTCTCCCTCACTAAAGGGAAAGGGGGTGAATACTTTCCTGGCCAACACTGGGAGGAGGAAAAAAAAAACCTTAGTGGCTTCTTATTCTGATGGTTTGAGGATTTTTCCCCAATGTTGCTGGTGTAGAGAATTGAAAAACACCTTGTAGAAATCAACAGCATGACTCCATATTGCATGAAGCAGATGAGAGAATGAGGCAAAACAAGAATTAGGTCAGGACTTCCATACATATGTCCAAGGCTTGTCCTTGAACCTTTAGAACAGCATGATCTTGAGCAAGACATTTAATTTTTTATTTTCATCTTTTCTCCTCTCTAAAATGAGGATGTTGATGACCTCATGGGGTTCCAGAGGTGATAAAAAAATCTGGCCTCTGCTTATCTCTTAAACCCATCTCAAAACTAATACTCTTTTTCATTCAATACACTCAAAACACACTGATTTTTTGTGTTCCTTGAACACAAGTATTTGTACCCTTGGGGACTTTAGTTTTCATATTATCCCTTTGGTGACAGATTAAATATAATTTCTGAAAAGTGACTTTCCTTGACAATTCAATTTAAAACAAAACCAAACAAAAATTATAGGTTGTGCCTATTCCAGTCTTTCTATTTCATCATTTTATTTTTCTCATGACACTTACCAATATCTAAACATAGAGACAATATAGCTTAGTTAGATAGTGCTAAATGGCCTGGGTTTGAATCCTGTTTCTGCCAGTTCCTACTCAATGATTATGTCAGTTACTTTTCTATTGCTGTAAAGAGACATTTTAAC